CCAACAAACTCACACAGACTCACCCAGACTGCTACAAAGTAGCACCGGCTCACACGGACTCACCCAGACTCACCCAGACTCACCCAGACTCACACTGACTCAAACAGACTCACAAAGACTCAAACAGACTGACACACACTCACCCAGACTGATACAGACTCGCACCGACTCACACGGACTCACCCAGACTCACCCAGACTCCCACTAACTCACACTGACTCACACAGACTCACACAGACTCACCCAGACTCACCCTGACTCACCCTGACTTACCCACACTCACACGGACTGACACTGACTCACACAGATTCACCCAGACTCACCCAGACTCATACAGACTCAAACAGACTCCAACAGACTCACAGAGACTCAAACAGAGTGACACAGCCTCACACAGACTGACACAGACTCGCACCGACTCACACGGACTCACCCAGACTCACCCATACTCACACTCACTCACACAGACACACACAGACTCACACAGGCTCACACAGAGTCAAACAGACTCCAACCGACTCACCCAGACTTGCCCAAAATCACCTTGACTCGCCTGGACTCACACTGACTCACCCTGACTCGCCCAGACTCACAGAGACTCGCCCAAACTCACCCCGAGTCACCCAGAATCACCCAGACTCACACAGACTCACACAGAGACTCACACAGACTCACACAGCCTGCAGGGATACGGCTGGGACTCAAACAGACTGACACAGACTCACACTGACCCACATGGACTCACGCAGACTCACCCTGACTTACACAGACTCACCCAGCCTCACCCAGACTCACACAGACGGCAACGGACTCACACAGAGCCAGACGGAATCACACAGATTCAACCAGACTCATCACAGAGTCGCACAGACTGCAGGGACTCGTACGAACTCACACGGACTCACCCAGACTCACACTGACCCACATGGACTGACACAGACTCACCCAAAGTCACACAGACTCACCCAGACTCTCCCAGACACACACACACATACACGGACTCACATAGACTCGCACAGATTGAAGCACACTCATCACAGACTCGAACAGACTGACACGGACTCACACAGAGTGACACAGACTCAAACACAGTCAAGTCCTATCAAAGAGACTCGAACAGACTGACACGGATTCATCACATAATAAAAAAGAGTGACACGGACTCAATGAAGCTCAAACGGACTCACACAGACTGGCACAGACTCAAATACACTCACACAGACGTACATACGCTCACACAGACTCACACACAGTCACACACACCCACATACACTCAAACACACTCATCACAGAATGAGCAGGAGCAAGGCATGACACTTTATATGAGTTATCCCTACATCATGGCAAACCTTTCAACAGGGTTGTGTATTGGGCGCCGTTTACCAAATGATGGCGACAACGTCCATGTTGAAATGGACCGCACTTGGCAACCGGACATTTATTTTTTATTTTTTTTCACATGTTTGTGTGTTTGCATGTTGTGGTCCATGTGCGTGTATGCGCTAGTGTTTGTGTGATGATATGTTTCACTAGCATCTACGCGTCTGTGCACATGTGCTCGTGACTTTTGATGCGTCCGGATATTTTTCACTCACTGTATGTGGAAGTGTTAACGTGCATGAAAACTCACCGATTCTTCTGTCAATAAACAAGTGTGACCATCCATACATCACCGATGTCCACACGACCAATGAGACGCGCACAAGGGGACAAACATACGAAAGGAAAACACAATGTCATTACCACACAACATTGGCTATTGCCCCCCCCCCTCACACACCGACTCACCCTCTGAATATGAATTGCAGCAATGAAAGGAAAAATGACAGAGACACACAAGAGAAGTGGCAGACAAGGTTCTGCAAATTTTCATCATAGTTTGTGGCACGCATGCAGTGGAACGCGGTCATGTCAACCAAAGACATGATCTGTGAGAAAATGAAGGTACGTATGTCATTGTTAATGACGGCATTACAAAAATCCAAGATCTATCACCCGAACACCTGATCTCTCATACACACACACACACACACACACACACACACACACACACACACACACACACACACACACACACACACACACACACAC